CAGAAGAAAGAGAGAGAAGAGCCAGAGGCATCAAACGGCTGTCTCCAGAGCACCCAGCTCCTGACCTCTCCTCGCTCATGGATTTCGACCTGCGGGAACAAAGTAAGAAAATTTAATTGTGTTGAGTTGTGTTCTGCCGCTGCATGCACGCATGCATGCATGCATGCATGCATGCGTGCATGCATGCATGCATGCATGCCTGCTGCATGCGTTGTTTTTTAAACAAACACTTCCTCTCTGTTTTCTTCTATTCTGATGACTTGTTCCTTCCTTCAGTGCAAGCAATATGGAGAGATATCGTGCGAGAGGCTGGAGGGGTGAGGATAAAGCAAATGTTAGTTTAATTCTCTTCTTTAGTTTAACCTAACAACGACAGAGTCTGCCGCCCATGGCGCAAATCGGAGAGCTCCGAGGCACCGCAACAGCTGGCGGTAAGAATATTGACACTTCAGGGTTTAGGGTTTAGGGTTTAGAGTTTAGGGTTTAGGGTTTAGCAGTTGCATATATATATTTTTTTATATTTCAGGTGCCGGTATACAGTGGAGCATGCACTGGCCAGAGGCCCACTTGCCTTGTAAGAAAGCCGCTTTCTTTATTATTTTGCATAAATATAATTATAAATATAATAATAATTATTATAGTTATAATAATATAATTATAAATGAAAATAAAAAAATAATTATATTAATTATAAAACCGTTTTCTATGGATTTCAGCTGCCGATGAGATAAAGGAAAGGGTTCAAGTGTTAGCTGAGGAGCTGCAGGAGCAGCTACCCTCTATTTCTACTTCTGTGCGTGTTGCTATGTTCCCCGTTTCCCTTTGTATAGCCGGCAGCACTCTGTACTTTATGTACAGAGTCAACCGCTCTCGGCTTCAATGAAGCCGCGGGGGCCAGCGTGGCCTCTTATATTTAAACTCCTTTCTACACCTAAAACGTCTCTGCTCTTCCTGCTGCTGCTGCTGCTGCTGCTGCTGTTATTGTTGCTGCTGCTGTTGCTGCTGTTTCCTGTCAGTTTTCCTCTTTTCTTTGTTTGGTAGCTAATCGGTAGAAACTAAGGGGGAGATTCATAGGGATGGAGTGATGGTGATAGAGAGCCGAACAAAGCTAAACAAACACTGCTCTAGAATTAGCTGAGCAAATACTTCTTTACAACTAAACAAGCATTTCTTTATATAGTTAGATGAACGAACATTTCTTTATAGTTAGTTTAACAAACATTTCTTTATAGTTAGATGAACAAACATTTCTTTATAATTTATAAGTTTAACGAATACTTCTTTATAGATAGATGAGCAAACATTTTTTTATAATTAGTTTAACGAATATTAATTAATACTTCTTTATATTTAGATGAAAAAACAATTTCTTTAGAGTTAGTTGAACGAAAACTTCTTTATAGATAGCTTAGCAAACATTTCTTAAAGCTAACTACGAGCTTTCTAACATTTAGCTGAACGAAGATTTCTGTATAGTTCATTGAACGAATACTTCTTTATAGTTTTTATTTGAACAAATATTTCTTTGGAGTTGAAAAAATATTTCTTTATTGTTAAACAAACTCTTCTTCACAGCTAACA